TGAGCATTTAGAGCAAGGAGTTTTTTAAGGCAAAAACCAAATCCTGGTATCTCATTCTCCTGCTGCACAAGCAGGCAGTTTAACAAAATCTAGGGTAAATTAGTTGGGACATCTTGAATTAGGGTTCCTACAATAGAGTTGGGTAATTTTTCATGTAAGTTTCCTTCAAGGAGATCAAATTCTATTTAAATCCAAAATGGCCCCAGCAAGAATACTAGAGGAACCTCTGCACATTCTTGCCCTGTCATGAATACAGTAACACAGAAATTGGAGAAAGGCAGATCCTTTCCTCTTGTATTGCTGAGGTATAAATTACTGCTAAAGATCCTTCTGTCAGTAGAAGAGATAGAGCTTTCCCATGGCTATATGCCACATTCCTTGCAAGGAGTCCTACTACATAGCTTGTAGGTAGGATTGATTTGGCCAGAAGTGTGTGTGTGTGTTTGTGTGTGTGTGTGTTCTTTCTTCCAATTTTTATTTATATTCCTGGTGTTTGAGGTTGAATCCAGAGCATCACATATGCTCAGCAAGATCTCACACTAAACTCTATTCCTGACCTCTACCAACTTGTTTTGACAGAAGGAGATTCAAGTGCTGAGATACTGTCGAATAACTGAAACATAAAGACAATAAATCAATGAGGACCTTCAAAGTGCATTTCTTCTATCAAGGAACGTGCTTACATCACATAATTTCAACAATGAACAGGGAGATGCTCTTTTATGAGTAATAGTTTAATAGAGATTATAAACAGGCACTCCAAACATTGTGTCAAGCAGAAGATAAGGACACGAAGAGCTGACTCATACCTATATGTAACACAAAAAAATAAATGACCCAGAAACTGATATTGGGGTTCAACTTCAAGCTAATATCAGAAAAGCAAAGTAGCTGGCCACTAGCTTCTCACCTCTACCTCAGGCTGAATGGGCTGATCCTGTCTCCATGAGCTCTCACCAAGCCTCAGATTGTAACCTCTCCTCAGCAATGGTTGGAGAATGGATGCCTCCTACTGAGTACTTGCTCCTGTCTTTTATCCCTTTCTAGTGCTGGGATTAAAGGTGTGAGCTATAATTCTCTTTTAGACTGATTCAATCTTGTATTGATCTGGGTGTCCTTGGACTCACAGAGATCCATCTATCTCTTAAACCTGAGTCCTAGGACCTCCTAACTTCTGACTGCTGGGATTAAAGGTGTGTGCCTGGCTTATATGGCTTGTGGCTGCCTTTGCTTTCTGAATCCTCAGTCAAGCTTTAATAAGTCATAAATAATATATCATTATACCTATATGCTTATACCCGATCCAAAGGAGGCTGATGGAGAGGGCATGCAGAGATTCCTCTGTTTTATGGGTGGATATTTGGAGAAGCAGAGGGACAGATGCTATGCTATTTCCCCACCCTATCTCTTCAACTTTGTTTCCCCTATTTGATGGTCACAGGGTGCAAAACCAAGTTCTGGGAAATAGATGATTACTGCACAAGTCATTGTAAATATATTTTAAATTTTTATGTCAGAATTCCTGATGGCCCAGTGAGGCATGCTGTATTTGATAAAACTGGGATAAATAACAAAAACAGCTGTGTTTTCTAAAGGAATTTAAAAATTAAATGTTTATTACCCGTGTGCATGTCTTTGTGTATGTATCTGTAGGTGGTATGTGCATGTTAGTGTAGTATCCATATAGGCCCGAGGAGTTGGATGCCTCTAGAATCCAACTCCTCGGTTGTGAGCCACCTGGTATGGGTGCTGAAAATTAAATTTGGTTCCTCTAGAAGAGCAGTATGTTCTTTTGACCACTGAGCTATCTCTCCAGTCCACAGCTGTTATTTCCTGTGGGTGACAATGACCTGCTGCTGTTTGCGACAAGTATGTAGCCCTATTCTACTTTAATAGGAGTGGAATGAGGCCAACTATTTGCTAGTGTAATATTTTTTTCACTGTAGTCTGTACAGAGGTTGAATCTCTGGTGACTACTGCTAAAGGGGAGACTTTAGGTGTAAATAGGATGGGTAGTAAATGAGGATTAACAAAGGAATAAATGGTTCTTTATTAAGTTATTAAAGCCATGGACACAGAGGGAGCAGGCAACATAATGATGGGTGTTCTGGTTAAGATTTCAGGCCCAGTACCAGAGATGGACAACATGGCAGGGTCTCTAAAGAGAATCAGGCCCTTATGGCAGAAGAAGGAGCCTCTTCCTATTTATACCTTTTAAGGAGGCTGAATCCAAGTTCTCTGATTTCTACGAGGGACTAGTGTGACATGATAATCTTAACATCAATACCTTTTGATGTTAACTCTCTTGCCAGGTGAGAAATCTGTCTGTAATGTACTAGTGGGGTACCTTTGATAATATGGGGACAGCTTCTGTAAAGCAGAGGCTATATTTTAACATTATTCTTATAGGTTCTAGGATGGAGAAAACCTGTAGTTTCCTAACAGCTTGAGAGGTTTAGAGCAAGAGATGATATTGTCTTTACTTAACTATACTGGAAACCAGAAAGGATGAAGCCATCTGCTTCTGGGACTACCTGTTGTTCTTTTGCTATAATTCTTGCCTAAGAAACACAAACACGAGACTCAGCGTCCATGTGGTTTATTGATAGAGGGGAGAGAAAGGGGGTACCTGGTGGCCAACTGAAAGCAGGACAGGGAGGGGGGAGCAAGGGAGAGAGAGCGAGAGGAGAGAGAGAGCAAGAGAGAGAGGCACACTTGGTGCATTTGCTTTAAAAGGGAAACTCGTGAATGAGTCCCCTGCAGCCAGGTAAAGCTTGAGCAGCCAGATAAGTCATGATGTAGAGAAGACATGGCCATAAGCATCCTGCCCACCATCAGGGGGCGGGGGTCAACAGACTGCTGGTTTTCAACACCACCCACAGGGTCAAATGTGAAACTGGAGTGGGCACAGATTCTCACTAGCCACACTGGCCCCAGCATCTTAAAAGGAAACTAGTAAACTAGAGGTCACAGAAGCCCTATGGTGAGGAAAGAAATGTACTCACTATCAAAGAACAGTGGCAATATTTGAACATTATTCAAATGTAATCATCATCATCCCTCAAAAATAGAAAATAAAAAGTGTGTGTGAGACATCTGTAGCAGGCTGTGTCCTGACTGGAACATAGAGTAACCTGCAGGGTTTTTCCTGGGTTGGAAGCCCCAGACAGTTAAAATCCACTTGTCTTGTGCTTCCAATTCCTTCTGGGACTGAGCCCTGGCCCAACCATCTAGACATGTGAGCAGTGTGGCCCTTTCTGTGCCCAAATTCACTGACGCCCAAGAGGGCAGCCCTTCCTATGTTTAAAACTTAATTTTTGAAGTTGTAAACAAAAAAATGCCCACAACACAATTTACCTCCTTACCCATTTTAGGCATAAAGTCCAGTAAGGTTAAGTGCATTCGCATTGTGTATACCTTTTGAGAATTCTACCTGGCAAAATGAAAATCTGTCAAACAACTTTGGACCCTCGACCCTCAGCCTTTGTCAATTCCATTTTACATTAATGAGTTTGACTACTGAGCACTAATGGAAACTTTTTTAATGTTTCCCTTAGTCCATATACATTCGTATTATGTCGGTGAACAACACATGTCTGCCTTTGAGGAGTCAAGCAAGACTGCCTCTAGGCTTCAGACTGTTAAATAGCAAGTAGCCCTTTAAAACTCCAGAGAAGAAAACTGCAAGCGCTGTCCAGGGTCCTGCTCTTTCTGGCACATGAAACCTGGTTGGCCACCTGCTCCTTAGGGACATTCCCACGCTTTCAAAGCACTTCATCTGAGTTGGGAGACTCAAAAGTTTCACTCAGCAAACCCAACAGCCACTGACTCTCCCCTCCCCCTGCTCACTTGCTCTGTGCTTTCCTCAGGCAAGAGCTGCTGTTTCTTCAGGACTTGTGCGCTTCTCCTCCACAGGCCCCACCCCTCAGGTCGAAGCCTCCTCAGCCCCACTTCTCAGGCCGCAGTCCCCGCCTCGCCCACTCTAGCAGGAAGGTTCTCTACATGCCCCACCCGCTAGTTAGTCGAGGCTACCCTCCAGTCTCAGTTCTGACAGCGCCTGTAGAGCACAGCTTAAACTGCTCCAATTTGCAGACACAGTCGCCTTGCAGAACTTTCAGATCCGTTTTCCAGCCATCCTTGCTAAGTGGCCTCCAGCGCTTTCCCACTCAGTACCACCAAGGAGCCACATGTGATACCAGGTAGAGAAAAATGCTTGGCTGAGCCCCTGCTGAATTCTCATCTGCCGTGTCATGAGTTACTTTATTAAGATAGGGTCTTATCAAGTAACCTTTCCCTGAGACTGGGTTTCTCTGCCTAACAGCGCTGGCCGTCCTGAACTCACTCTGTAGACTGGACAGGCCTTGAACTCAGATCCACCTGCCTCTGACTCCCAGATGCTTGGATTAAAGGCATTCATCACCACCCACCTGGATTAAATAACTGTTGCAGGCCTGGAACTCATTCAGACCAGGCTGAAATTGAACCTAGAGATCCACATAAGCTTTAGGGTTAAAGGCATGTATCTCCATCCCTGACTCTAAATCTCTAATAGTGGGCCTTTTTCTTTTTCTTTTCACCACACAGTTTTGGGTGGTTTGTTCTACAGCTTTATTAAATAACCCTAACAATTCTTCACAGGTTAACTATTGTGTCATTTTATCAAATGAATCTTCAGTTTTAACCCCAAAAGCCTTATGTCCTTTTAAAATTAAACCTCCTTTTTGTAACAGGAGGTTACAGAGTACTCATTGCAGAATTGCATTCCCACTAGTAATGCTCAACTACTGAGAAGTTACTTAAGATACTCACTCTTTGGAGCCAATAAAGACATTTGACACAGCATTTTGTTGGTTTTGCTTTATTTTCTCAACCCCTGTGTGAAAAACAACAAACATTTCACAGAGAAGTGTGTAACCTATCCCTCCTGGAAATGTAATTTAGTAGCTTTGGATATAGACCAGTGATTTTTACATATTAAAGATTTCTTGCAGTTTTTTTTTTTTAATTTTTAAAGGCACGTGAATGGTCTTCAGAAATACTGCCACCAGTACCCACTTTCTGTATTGCAATAGTGTGGCATAATCACCAGTTGTGGATTGCTAGTTCTTACATCATTCAGAAACCTCTTGATTTTCTTCCTGTAAATTTCTTTTTTGTCCAACCTGAAAGGAAAGACACAAAACAAAAAACCCTCTTGGCTAAAGTAGGGAATTTAACATTGGTGGCGAGTGGAAACGGGAGGGACGGTGAAGGAGATGCAGCAAAGTGAAGTGGCATATAGAAGAGGGAAATTATAATTAACAAGGGCTCCTGGAAACCTTTCAGGGAGGAGAATGGGCAGCACATCCCTGTTTATTATACTGGGCACTGTGTCAGTCTCAAGTCTAACAGATCCTCATGACCCCATGGACAAATTCTTTTCAGTTGATCCATTTTACGAAGAGGCTCCTTTACAGAGACATTAGGTCATGCCCCAAGTTGAACAGAGATGGGGCTAGAATTCAAACTGAGGTGATCTGGTTCCAACCCTATTTACCAAAATGCAGCTGGTTGATTCTGAGGGCATCAATAAAAGAATGGCTGCCTAAATCCCTCAACAAAGGACATATCCCATATGAGAAACAATTGAAGACTTACGCTAGAAATTTAATTTTGCATGTTGGAGACCTCAGGACTTGACATAGCTTCCTAAGTGTGTCATAACCGAGTGGATTCTTCATTAAGTTCATTTGTACCAAACTTTGGCTTTTATAAAAAAGACTTAAGAGATCCTGACAGCAAACAGAGGTTAAACCACAGTTTTCCAATCTATAGGGAAGAGAGAAAAAAGAAAAATGACTTTATTCCACTTAAGAGATCTGTGAACACTGAAAAGTAATTTTTAAAATTAAAAAAGACACATGAATATAGCTAGAGTAAATTCAAGGACTACAGAAACCTTCATGAGACTTTTGTTATTTGTTAAACATATCCTTTCTTTTTTATATAATTTTTAAAATTTAAACTAGAAACATGCTTGTTTTACATATCCCAGTTCCTGCATCCTCCCATTCTCCCCTGTTCCCCCTGCCAACCCCCATCCCATCACCTTCTGCTCCCCAGGGAGGGTGAGGTTTTCCATGGGGAGTCTTCAACGTCTATCATATCATTTAGAGCAAGGCTCAGGCCCTCCCCCATGTGTCTAGGCTGAGGGAGTATCCCCTCTATAATATAGTCGTTCTGATATGAATTACAATTCATAATCACAAGTCCATGGCATTATACAAGCATAATACTATAAAACAACTGAATTCAATTGTGTGTCTGTAGGGGTTTTTTGTGCATGCACACACACACACAAACATGTGTGTATAGGCATATGTGCAATGGTACTTGTGAAGTCAGAACACATTTGTAGAATCCTTTCTCTTTAGGCACTCTGAGGAGGCAGACTGAGGACAGCATCACCCCTTTGGTCTGAGCATTGGTAGAGGTAAGAATTCTCTAGTGGCTGGCTGCTCTGCTTCTCTGACCTTTAAACATTTACCCCGATATCCAACTCAGGGTTTTTTTTATTATTAATACTGATTAGAACGAGCTATAATCATTAATCAAGAAAATAAGATTCAGTGGTTAAGAGCACTAACTGCTCTTCCAGTGAACTCACAGAGTTCAATGCCCAGCACCCATATGGCAGCTCACAACTATCTGTAATTCCAGTTCCAGGGGATCCAATGCCCTCACACATTCAAGCAAAACACAAATGCACATAAAAAAGTATATATATACATATATATACATATATGTATATATATACACACATATGTATATATACATATATAGTTATATAATTTATATGTATATAAGTCATACAATATATACTAAATTATACATATGTGAAAATACCCAAAAAACTTGCCTACAAGGTCTATCTAATGGAGACCATTTTCTTTATTAAGGTTCCTCTTTTCAGATAATTCTAGTTTGTGCCAAGTTGGACAAAATATACAAATGAAAACACTATTAAGCAGGATGGTGGGTAATGATTCATGCTATGCAAGCATGGAAAGCCTGTTTCTTATCCCTAGAACTCACAATTAAAAGCCAAACATGTAACTCCAGGACTACAAAGGGCAGAGACAGAGGATTTCTGAAGCTATTCTCTAGCTGCTAGCCTAGCTCCAGCTTTAGTGAGAGACTATCTCTGAAAGAATCTCTTTAGGAAATATGATAGAGAATGATACAAGGAAACACCTGTTGTCCTCCTTTGCACATAACACACACCTATCTCTCTCTCTCTCTCTCTCTCTCTCTCACACACACATACACACACACACACACACTATTCTTTTATAAGATTAGTCATACTTTTATCATACATTTGAAGCTCACTCCCTTGCCTCCAGATCAGAATAGAGGCATAATTAAATCAACCAGCCATCTGGTCAAGAGCCCTTGTTCAAGCCAATAATGTAGGAACTGACAAAATAACTTAAACACAACTTTCTACACAAGATATTATCCCAACCAACTAATATTAATTTCACTTTTGCCTCCAGTTTACCCACTCAGAATAATTTCATGTGCACACTGATTATAGCACAAGGTACAAGTACACCTTAAAACAAAGTACTAAGAACTGCCAGTAATTCATTGTGTAACAGTCACTTTAAAATTATCAGGCTTGTGGTACACTCCTATAATCACAACACTAGGGAGGCAATGGCAGGCGAGTCATAATGAGTTCCAGACCAGCCAAGACTACATAGTGAGATCCTGACTCAAAACATAACCCCCAAACTGTGCATAAAATAATTGTGCAGGACAAAGATAATGCAATAATTTGAGGGAAATCTGTAGCCTTACATATATGTAATAGTAAAGAAAGTAAAATGTACAATCAGCACCCCACTCAAGAATTTTGAAAAAAAAAATGGGGAAATGAGCCTATAGAAAATCTAAGAGCAAAAAGAGTAAAGAAATAGGAACTATCAATGTTACATTATTTGAAAAAAATGAAACAAATACAGAAGATCCAACTGACAGTATTAATAAAAAAGGTCAGTATACAAACTTAGAAGTTTAGTAGATAAAATACATAATTTAGGTAAGATGGGTAAACTATATAAAAAAGGACTCACTACTGAAAATCCAAGCATACATTTTTAAATTTATATCTAGAACCAAAATAATCTAAACATAAAATTAGTTTCACCAGAAATTTATTAAATTCAAGAATTGTAGTTTTAAAAATATTTTTCTCAAGAAGATGGATAAATATTTTTGAACTAATTTTATGAAATTAGTATAATGTAAACAAAATTTAATGAGAACTGCACAAGAAATTAGAACCTAATCTTTTATAAGCAGAGATACTGAAATATGTATTTTAGAAAAATAAATTATACAAGGTATGTAAAAGAATCTCAGCCAAGTTGGTTTTAGCTCCCAAAATATAAGGATTTGGTTCTAATATAAAATCTTGGAAAGTACCAGGACAGAACAAGAGCCAAAATTATCTTGAAGAGAAAGATGGGAAGATTTGTTCTAGTAGGTTCCAGAGCTCACTGCAAAGCTGTGGTCATCACAGTGCTTCGCTGAGGTAGAACATCACACCAGCTAATGGAGCAGGACAGAAAACCCAGCCACAGATCCATGTACAAGCAAAAGCATGCCTGATAGACAAGTTGTTCCTGACAAGCAGGGATGAGAGGGGGAAAAAAACAAAAACAAAAACAAAAAAAATCAAAAAACATTAAATCCTGCTTGAGAGAAGAGTGTATAGAAAAACACTATGTTGGATCCTACTGTTAAATTGTGTATTTACTGTGTATGTGTTCATGGGGGGGAGGTGTGTGCGTGCCACAGTGCTCAGACCATGTATGGCAGTCAGAAAACTTTCAAGAGTTGTTCCACATACAACTTGGGATTGAACTAAGGTCATTGGCATCAAGTATCTGTATATACTAAGCCAGCTAGTTGAACTATAGTTTTAAAGGTTGATTAAAGACCCCAAAGTTTCATAATTTGTGTTTGGGATTTATAAAGCATAATCTTTGACTCAGTGATCAAAGAGGTGAAGGCAAATTAGCAAATCTCAAAGTTGAGTAAGAAAGAACACAAGCATATAGAAAAGGACAGGAGATAAGCGTCTCAAGATCTTGGCATTCTACAGAAAAATTCTTCAATTTAATTTGGAAAAGTAATTCAAGGACAATTGGAATATATGAACAATGACAGAGCATGGAAGGCCCAAATCAGATTAATATTTAATATTTACCTGGCTGCGGTACTGAGAAAAACAAAAAGGGTGAAATGAAGATTGTATAGCAAAGGGCATACAAACTACAGCCCCATAGATTTGAAATCCAGATTCTTATTTCTCAGAGTAACTTACCTTCTAGCACCATTTACTTTTCATTCTCCACATATAAAATTACCCTTTTCTTCACCAACCACCAAGCAGACTTTATTTTTATAAATGGAAAACTGAACTTACCCTAACCTCTGAATGTGGCAGTTTGGATTTTTTAAAGCTTCACACAGGATTTGCAGGCCAGCATCCCTTAAGTTGTTGTTCCCAAAATCTAGGCTCCACAGGTTTGGGCTGTTCACAAGAACAGAAGCCAGATCCCGACAACCCTCACTCGTGAGAACACAGCCCATCAACCTACAAGAAATATATTAGAGGAGGAAAGAGCTATTCGGTAGCAAGACTGAACTAGGTTCTTCCAGGAAATGACTGCCTTCACTGTGATATCATATCAACACATGGAACATATTCATCATTAAACTTTTATTTTTATGTCGTATGCATTTCATATCAATGGGTAAGAGCATCACCTTCAGACCCCTCAGCATTAGACTCCTCTTTAAAACAGCAAACAAAAAAAAAACTCCTCTAATTGTTATAACCAAGAGACTGAGTGGCTTCCCTGAGGCTATGAAGGCAACCAAGAACTAATATATTAAGGAAAGAAGGCAGCAGAGCAAAGTCCTTGGATATACTGGTCTCTTAGAAATTGTTTTTGTAGTCCTAAAAAAGGCATTAGGCTTAATAATTGTACCCATTAAATAAACCATTATCAAGCTGAGAAAAGATCAAGGAAATTCAGAGTAGCCCACATGTATACCCTGTCCTGAAGGATGTGAGGGTAGGGTGGGTATTTGTTAGAAGTCACAGTAAACTCATGTGAGAGTTGTTACCAAATACCTGAAATGAGATACTTAAAAGTGTCCAAGGCGAGGCAAAGCATAATGGTAGAAGGGTGTGGCAGGTAATATATCTTAAGAATTAAGCTATTACATAGAGAATATTACCTTAAACAGGAAAGGTAAGGAACATACAGGGGTAGAAGGACAGCTGTCACAGTAACCTGCTTCCTCCAAGCAGGTTCCACATGGGTAATGTTTCTTTCTATCATTTCCCCAGAGCACCTCTGGCTAATGACCGAGATTTCAACATCAAAATTTCTGTGGGAACATTCCAATTTCAAACTATCACAATTTTCATTATTCAGTTCAGTTAAGACAACACTCCTGTGTATGTCAAGAAGCTTAATAGTTTAAGAAATGTTGGGCTTGGGTGGTGGTGGCACATGCCTCTAGTCCTAGCACTCTGGGAGGCAGAAGCAGGCGGATCTTTGTGAGTTCAAGACCAGCCTGGTCTACAAGAGCTAGTTCCAGGACAGTCTCCAAAGCCACAAACCCTGTCTCAAAAAAACCCAAAAAACCAAAACCAAAACCAGAAAAAAAAAATTGCTAAGCTTATGGGGCTGAAAGATGGCTCAGTGATTAAGAAAACCATCTGCTCTTCCAGAGGATCTAGGTTCATTTCCTGGTACCCACATGGATGCTCACAGCTATCTGTAACTATAGTTACAGGGATCAAACGCCCTCTCCTGTTTTCCATAGATACCAGACATAGATGTGGTACACAGACATACATGTAGGCAAAACATTTATACACAAAATAAAAATAAATGTTGGATCTATATGTCTAAGGACTCAATCATGACAAGATCTAGTGGAGAAGTAGGGTAAGATTGCTGCACCTCAGTCTTATTTCACTTTGGACTTAATATTACATGGGGAAGTATTAAATATCCTAAGTCATTGAAGTATCCATGGGATGATTTAAAGTAAAGATTTCTGGAATAGTACCAAGTAAAAGGAAACCTCAATTCTTGTCTATATATCACATAACAGGTACATAAGTCATGCAAATGTGTATATTTCTCACAAAGAACTTAGGAATGAAACTGGCTAGTTGTAAAACTGGACTTTAGGGCAAGGAAGTGGTGTCTTCTGTATCAAGTGCTCAAGAGACAGACAAGAAAAGGTGGTGACTTTTAAGATACCTTGGCTACACAGTGAGAACCTATCTCAAAACTATAACTAGGTGCAAACTATAACTATAACTAGGTGCAAAGTTACCAGGCAAGGGCATTCTAAAAAGGGAGATAAGAGATTTCAGAAGCAAAGAAACTAACTGGATAAGGGTAGGGCACTGGGAAGGTCAATGAGGGCAAGGAAACAAATGAAAACAGTATAATGACACATACATATGGAGACAAACCCCATTACTTTGCATGGAAACCTAAAAATTTACCTTAAAAAGTTAATTGTAGGATTAAAAAGAAAAATATATAAATTATAATCTCAAAATATTAAAAAAAAGTCCCCTCTAGCTTCTTGGAATACTGAACTAACACGAAAATTAGTTTAAATATAAACCAGAGGGCTGGAAAGATGGCTCAGTGGTTAAGAGCATAAGCTGCTCTCCTAGAGGACTTGATTCAATTATCAGCAGTGGCATGCAGGCTCATAACTGTCTTTGTCTCCAGTCCCAGGGGACCTAGAGTCTTCTTCTGGCTTTTGTGGGCACCAAGCACACACATTCATGCAGGCAAAACATCCATACATATAAAACAATAACATGGTAATTAAAAAAACCAAACACCTTTTGAAAAAAAAAATGGAAAGGAAAGCTAGTAGAAATTCAGCTTTGTGGATATAGCCCACAGACAACAGATCTACTAGGGCACAATCAAAACTAAAACGGCTCCTGTTCAGTCTGATGCCTCTGGACCCTTTACCCCAAGGGAAGCAGATTACGGGGCCAACGTTATCTGTGGCTTTCAGTTTTGGTTCCAACCAAACAGGCTTCTTTAGCTTGGCTCTAGCAGAATGAGAGAAAAGTCAGGTCCATCCTCTTTATCTGACACATATCTCACTGAGTTCTTCCTTTCATCTCTCCCCTGCCCTCCAAAGACAGCTCCCATTTCCAAGTACAGGACAACAGAGTCACAGAAAACCTACTCGAGTTCCTGAAGAGTGCAGGTTGACTGCTGAAGGACATGACACAGAAGCTTTATCCCACTGTCGTGAAGACTGTTTGATCCCAGGTCCAGATGTATCAAACTCCTGTTGCTCAGAAGAGCAGAGGAGAGAAACTCACCACCAACCTGGGTGAAATGGCAACACCTCAACCTACAGGGAAGCACAGTGTGAGGAAACACGTGGTCAGTCTTTACCACCCAGGGAAGGTCTCATATCTGCTGAACACTCCTCAGATCAGACCTCTATTGTCAGCCTAACCTGCTGAGTCATTTAGGTTGATACCAGACTCTTATAAATTGGACTCACATTCTTCAGAGCCAATCCCAGTGTCTGTATGTTTCCAGTTTTCAGAAATGGGTCTCACTACAGCACAGGCTGGCCTTCTCACTGTAGCTCAACTCAATTAATTGTCCTGCTCAGTTTCCCTAGTTCTAGGATTGCAGGTGTGAACCACATTCGTCTCAGCTTTTCATACTATAAATCAAATGGCAATCCCATTGTTTTCCTAAAGATGCATATAGGACCTGTTGTAGAAATAGCTACATGGAATAGAGGGGCAGGCATGAGAAGTACAATAGGAGTAAGCTAAGCATTCTTTCTTTGTATTTACTAGTGACATTTTTAATTAGTAAAGGACATGTTTTACCATTAATATTTGATATAACATGTCATATATATGGGGGAAGTTAAATATAACCCTTACATCAATATTAAAGTGTTAAATTCAGAATAAATTTGGAATGCTTTAACATGTTAGGTGTTAAAAAGTCATAAAATTATGAAATGGTAAAATTACATTTCAAAAAAGGCATTTCTAGTTATGATTAAAAAAAAAATACCTTAGGATTCACGAGGCAAAATGACTTGCAAAACAATTATACAACTGGGCTGGGTTAATGTAGTACATGCCTGTAATCCCAGTACTTGGGAGGCTGAATAAGAGAATTGCCAGATTCAAAACTAGTCTAGACTACATAGCAAGTTCAACACTAGCCCAAGGGACTCAAGACCATATCGTAAACTATTTCAAAATTTAATAATCTGCAAATTACCATAAAATAGTTAGAAATAATGCAAAAAGCTAGAAAAATTATCTTTAGTATATAAAGTACGTATGATAATAATCAGGTATGACATTTATAATAGAAAACATCAAGAAGAAACTGGATCCTTTGAAGAAACAATTCCTAGAATATGAAAAGCCCTAAATAGCTGCAAAGATGCTGTGAGCCATTTAAAAGTTGCATTACTGAAAATTTTATTGAATAGTGAACATGAATATGCATTCATTCTAAACTATGTTATATTGGGAAGGTGACAGACACTCACACAAGGCTCTGGAGAGTACACTGTGGATGTTTCAAGGCATCGCTGAGCAGCTTTATCCCCTCATCTTCCAAGAAGTTATCTGCCAAGCATAAATGTGTCAGCCTCTTGCTTTTGGTGAGAGCCAAGGAAAGAACATCACACACAGCTTTTGTTAGGCCACAGCTTGCTAAGCTGAAGGAGAAACAGATGAAAAAGGATCTATTCAGTGTTCAACTATCTTGCCTTACTTATTTCATGAGGAAATTATCTGATACTTATACCGGTCACTTTTCCTGTAGAATCAACCTCGGCAGACATTTAAATTGTGAATTCCATTGTGTCTAATTACAGGACATAATGAAACAAAACTGGAGTTTAGAAGAATTTGAAAATAGGAAAATTGTTTTAAAAAAACAAGTTCCCCCCTGAACCCCAAGCTCAGGAAATAGCTCAGTTGGTAAGTCCTTGCCACACAAGCATGAGGATCTCTAGTTTGATCACCAGCACCATGTAAAAAGCTGAGTATGGCAGAATGTGGCTCTAAACCCAGTTCTGGGAGGTTGGAGACAGGGAGATCCCTGGGGCCTGTGCTGGCCAGCCAGCCTAGCCTATATAGTGAGGTCCAGGCCAATCAAAAATTGTCTCAAAAAATAAGGTGGATGATTCTGAGGTATTGGCCTCCGTATATACAGTCATGAATTTACTCATAGTACTTGTACAAACACAAGTATTAAAAATGCTTCTGCATGTAACACACACAGGCATACACACAAAGAGAGGGAGTGGGGGAGAAGGGGAGGGAGTATGGGGGGGAGGAAGAGAGTAGAAACAGAGGTTCAGACAGACAGAGACAAAGAGGCAGAGACAGAGGGCACTTGTGTGCATGAAAGGTGGGGAGGGAGGCACAGAGACAGAAACATGGAAAAGGGACACCTGGCCATATAGCTTAGTGTGTTCAAGGTTCTGGGTTTAATCCCAGCACCCAACAAAAACAAAAACAACAAGAACAAAAACAAAACAGAAAAAGTTGAGTACAGGAAGAACTCTGAGGGTCATTCAGAATTAATAAACATGCCAGCTAATGTTACCCCACATATTCCTATCTAGTTCATAAGTTATAAGCAAACCGACTCACGACAGTCTCTCTAGGCGACAGTTGGGGTTTTCAATGATCTTACACAGTGACTGCCCCCCATTATCTGTCAGATTATTGGTAGACAGATTGAGAAATACCAGGCTCCTATTCCTGTAGAGGGCCTCTGATAATTTCAGACAACGGATTACATTCAGGGCACAGGATTCCAACCTGAAAAGCAATACAGACAGAGGAAAATGACACATTTTGTAGAATCCCAACCTCTGTTTACTCAGTCAGATGCTGGCAGTCTCCCACTTTTGGAGATCTTGGCTGAAAATTCAGCCTCCTCACATAAAACAAAATACTTGATAGCTAAAGCACATGGCCCTGATAGAGTGCTAAGAGGACTGAAGAGGAACCATCTTTCCCATCCCTCAGGGCCTTCAAAAGTATGAAAACAGTTTTAAAATTCACTAAATGGTGAATTCACGAGGAGAAGGGTGTTTCCTCCACCTACTGCTGGCTCTACTAAGTCAAGTCACAACATTTCCCATTTGAAAGCTTCCTATTTAGATCAACCTCGAGCACCATCAATAGAAAACATTATTCAAATCTCAACAAAAAGGGGTCTTATCAAGTCCTGCTGCTTCTAATGTCAAAGCTTTTGTTTTAGATCTACAGCCAGCACTGTAAGAACATCTCTCCTACCAAACACTGGTTTTTCTCCTATTGATATTTCGTTTTTAGACTCAAGAACCAGTGGCATACATTTCACTTGACTTCCAGATAATATAGGTTTAATCCTAAATCTCAATCTGACCCCCTCACAACTGTATGCAACCTATGTATCAGGTCCTGAGATGTGCTACATTAAGTGAATTTCAGCTTTTAAAGCCTACCTAAGGCTAAAAAAAAAAAAAAAAAAAAAAAAAAAAAAAAAAAAAATTCCCATGGGTCACAGAATACAAAAGAAGGCCTTACTCCAAGACTTCTCTAGTCTTCTACTTAGCTACTTCTCTAGTACCTGGGAGTACCTGGGTTTTAAGACTTTATTCTTTATTTGTGTGAAGCAACTTACCTTAGCCCTTCATGCAATAAGGTTCAGTCTTGACTCGCAGATTGTCCAGGGATTATAAGAACTTTTAAGATGAATCTACACTGATTTTGTGTGTGATAAATTAACTTAACTGACTTTCACTAGAAAATAAGAGTTGTCTTAAAAGTTGTCTTAAAAGTTGTCATCCAATGTACAGACCAGGTATAATGCTTGAGGCTCTGAGGGGCACCAGTAAGAGGGACAGTACATGACAGCGAGTGCACACCTTGACAGTTGACAGTTGATACATTGTTCTTTCTCAGCCTTTAGCTGTGGCTCTGAGCCACAGCTGAAGATGGTAGGGATTTATTATCAACAATCAAGTACAACAGCTTTCTCCAACATTGTTTCCTACTACCAATAACCAAACACACAATATAACCCAGACCTAAAGTAAGAAAAATATTAAATGTTCATCAGTCCTTGGTCTGTCCCCTCCCTTCATTTGGGAGACACAGACTTATACAGTGAAAAGTGTTTTATGGGGAATGAGTGAGCGGCCTTACTGAAGAAAAAAAAAATGAACTAGGAAAAGTAGGCTTCCATAGCTCTATGAACACCAAATTCAGATTTCACCTTTTGTTTATTGGTCAGACAAAAGTTATAATGAAAGCTCAAGCTTACCTCAGCACCCGTAAATTACACTGTTGGCATTTCAAGGCTTCACATAAGTTCCTTAACCCACTGTCTTCTAAGTTGGAGTCTTTCAGGTCAAGATGTGTCAGGGTATGACAGTTAGCCAAAAAGCTAAAATCCTGACAACTATTCAAGAAGCAGACAGATCCTAACCTTCAGAAGAAATATATACAGAGTAGTTATACAATCATCTCCAACCACAGTTTTATCATCCCCTCCCAATTCTTACTCTCATCTTTTATCTGTATTTGAGTTTTTCATACTGCAGGTCAGGCGCCAAAACACAGTTTCGGAGAACTATTGTAAAAACAACATATGATTGGATTTGTAACATGACATTCTCATTATTTTGACCTCACAGGATGGTAACATCAGGAAAGGTAGAAAAGCCTCTGAACTTTTAGAAATGACTACCACTGTTATGAAAGTCACTACAAATACTTCAATGACAACATGAACGATGCTTCCTTTCCATAATCAAAAGTGAATGCATAATTAAAATCAACTATCAGATGTATGTTGTTATGAACATGTACTGTTGCAGACATGCTGTGATTCCATGGGCTTCAGTGAGTATACAGAAGCAGTAGAGAGTGCAAATACAAAGGTCATCTTCCAATTTTACCTTACTTCCTTCTAACTGCATCTGTGTTTGACATACTTAATTCTCCTGCAGTGCCCAGTATGGCCCTAAATTCAATCTGTTCATACTGTACCCTAACTACTAGCCCCTTGGAGACCACTTCCCTCCTTTTCAGCTCATTACCTAGCATTCTTCCTTCCTCCATTACTTCTATCCCCAAGCACCTACAAGACTTACCCATTTACAGAGCTAACTATCCTCCTAAGTCATTGTGTAAATATAAGATGGAAACAATTTTTCAGGGGAAAGGGACTTGATATTAGGGAGCCTAAGACTGAGGAACAGTCACCATGGTGTCATCCCTTGGAGGAACTCTTCTGTTTTAAAAGAAGCCATTAGCCCAAAAGTAGCATTGATTATTAATATTTGCACTGGTGACATTGGGGGAAAGACAATGTGAAGGAGACTCTTAGAGATGAGTGAAAATATACATCTAGAGGCCTTTCCTCATCTACAGATTTAAGTAATGCTTAAAATCTGAAGTAAGAGCTCACAACAATTAGATTTTAGGGAAAAATATTTGGCAGGAAGCTATTCTCCAAGACATCTATTTTGGTGATATTAGGAACAAGAATGTATAATTTGTTTGGTACCAAGTATATACAACTAACCAGGAAAAAAGACTTTCAGTATAGGATAGGCACTAAACACAGAGGAACTTATAGATGGTTCCAGTCCTCAGGAGAGCCAACAGCAAGTGATAATGCAAACATGCATGTTTTAAATGGAGAGAATCTGGAATCAAGTTAAGATTTTAGAATTGACAACAATAAACACAGGTGCAGGTGAGGAGCAGACAAAACATTCACACACTGTGGGCACAATTGTGCTATAAAACTGTTTAGCTCATTCTTAGCAGACAAATCTATGGACCAGCCGACTCACATTTTAACCAAAGATGTTAAAGACCTCACAAACAGCTAACCAATATTCACAGCAGCCTCGTTCCCAATAACTAAAAGTTGGGAGGGGGACCACAAGGGAGTTTTATTAACAAGACAAAGAACTAATAATTGCAATATAGTCCCGCAATGCAATGACAAATGCCTATCAGCAATGAAACAAACTAGTCAAACATGCAAAGATAAAGTTTTATAACATTTTATTTTAAACAGACACAAATATATAGTGTGTTAGTTAAATGGTTTCTATAATGAAACAAAGTTAGCTAGATTAGAAAATGGTTGCCTATGACTAGTGACATGAGAAAACTGAATAGGAAGGTATAGATAGAGCATTTTCACTGGAATGTTCTACCTTATTCTGAGTGTTGGCTACAAAGATGTTTGCCATTAAACTTGTCACTTTTAATAATTGATTTTATCAAATATAAACCATTCAAAAGAAAATTAATATCAAATTCATGTCTTTGTAATTACTTTTGTGACCTAAATTTAATGTCTTAAGTTCTATACCATGCTTCATCTAGAAAACTCCTAATGGAGTCTCAAAACCATGTGCCAACAGCTTCTACAGCCCTTGCCATCTTTCTCAGAACAAATGAAATCATGCTGCCATATCTTTAGGCATCTCAATTGTCCATGTTCTTAGACTGTTTTGCACAATGATGGGATGTACAGCCACACACTTAATGAGAAAAGAAATCACTTTGTGATTTTTGCCTTGTGCAAACATGAAAGACTATCTTTACACACACTAACATGGATCTGAGTCACTAGGAAACTGAGTGTTATGGGACCACTATTGACCCTCATTGACCAAAAAGTCTTTATGTGTCAGATGACTGCTTCTACTTCCTACTGATTTCCCTTAATAAGTATGGGTGAAAGATAGAGCAAAGAAAAACAAAAAACAAAACAAACAACAACAAAACCAATGGGAATACACCATGAAAATTTTACAGGTGCCTGGGGTGATGTTGACTCATGCATTTAATCCCAGTACTCAAGAGACAGACCAAGGAGGATTTCTGAGTTTGAGGCCAGCCTGGTCTACAGGTTGAGTTCCAAGACAGCCAGAGCTACCAAGAGGAAATCCTATCTCAAAAAACTGCACACACAAACAATACCCTATGTAGACTTACAGTAGTTTTTGTAGTTTACACTTTGGGTGACTTAATTCTTCATTTAAAATCTTCATCAATGATTCATCAAGTCTGCTTTCATAAAGGTCCATTTCTCTCAGGGATTCATTTTTATGAAGCACAGAAAACAGATCTTGCCAGTAGTGCATGATTTGAGCAACAACATCCATGAGGCTATATAATTGGAAAAAGACCCGACACATTTTCCTTAGAAGATGCTATTGGATAGAAATATGCTATGAAAGAACATTAGGTGCAGTTTTGCTATGGATAGTTCACCACAGCATCTTCTCTTGGCTACCTCAAATTGCCATCTATTTCCTCAACATATATGTAATAAAAACTATGGAGAACCGCAGGATGAAGAAGTCTGATCCACATATCTGTGTGTATATTTATATTTTATATTTTGTTCTTTTGAGACAGGGTTTCCCTGTATATCCCTAGAAAGTCTAGAACTTGCTACATAGACCAACCTGACCTCAAATGAACAGATTTGCCTCCGCCTCTGGAGTGCCAAGATTAAAGTTGTGATCAACCACATCCAATCTTATGTGTCTGTTTTCCTCAAGGTACTTGTGCATGTGTATGCACTCATATGTGGAGGTCAGAGGGCAACCTCAGCTGTTGGTTCTCATGTGTAGTACTTTGTTTGAGACATGTTTTCTGACTGTCCTGGAAATTGCCAAGTAAGTTATGCTGGCTGGCTAGTGAATTCCAAGGATCTGACTGACTCGCTCTCCCAGCACTATGATTATACATTCAGGTCACTCTGTGAAGGTGTTTTTTGGTTTTGTTTTGTTTTGTTTTTATGTGGGTTTAGATATTGAAATGTCTTAATGCATTTAAAGTCTTAAAGCTTTACCAACTGAACTATTTCTCCATCCCTCTGTATTGTAATGAAATTGAAATGCATGAGACTGGTATGCCACTTAATGGTATTATCTAGCATGTTTTAAGATGTTGAGATTATTAAGTCCCAACTTTGGGAAAGGAGAATGCAATGAGTGATACTGCAGAGTAGTGGACTATGACTTGACGTTTTCATTTGTGAAAAACATTCAAGAGGTTTCTATATACAAATATCTTAGACACATGGTAGTCATATTGAGATAAATTAATGAAATATGTTCTTAACAGGGGGATTCTTTTCCAACCCTGACAGTTTTTCCAACAGAAAAGTTGGAAGCCAAGGACTTCTATATAATCTGATGGTGACCTCAGTCATGCCTATGCATGCATACAACTCAGCTTTTTCATAAGGCAAATTGAAAAGGATAGCATCTATCACATAGGACCAGTGGGAGAACAAATACATTATACATCAAATGACTGGCACCTATATGAGCAACAGTCAATGCATAATAGCTATTGTTCAACATATGTTTGAATCAATAATTACCTACTTATTTTCTAGAAAAACACCTATATATCTCAGTTTTGGAACCTTTGAAAATGTAACTTCATAGGTAGTTACCTATGTAAGAGTTCACAAGACTTCTGGCATTAGAATTAAACTGGGTAATACGTTAAGCATCTTGCACACTATATAACTATGAAACAGGATTAAGCCCTTAATTTTAGTTAGATTTAGAAATTCCACTATTCAAGTCTTCTCACAGGTTTAGATAGGGAGAATCAGAAAAGCCAACTTGATAAAAGGGATAAGGTAAAATCATATAAAACAGCAGAGTGTATGGGTATATAGGACAGATGACCTATGTATATTAGCCTCAGCAAGAGATTTCTAGGTGGATTTTCTTAAGATAATTACTTTACCTTAGTTAAGTGATGTTTCCATCTGTAAGATCTACTTCATTCCCTACTAGTAAACTGAACACTTACCAAGTTTCAGCTATAGGAGGGTTTAAGTCCAACAGATTTCTTAACTCTGCCACTGCAGTCAATTTAATAGTTTGCAGAGAATAGCAGTGCTTAAGGCAGAATGAATATATAAGCAACTGAGTTTGTTCCATAACTTTCACAGTAATCCTTGGGAAATAGCTCAGTGCCTGAGATATGAACTCTCTATCTTGAGTCTCATATAGACAGTGAAGCAAGTCCAGAAATGTCAGCTGTGATGGACTTGAGTCATCTTTTTCTAATGCTTCCAAACACGTAAGTAACTCCCCTTTGATGTCCATGGATATTGTAAAGTTGAAAGTTTCCTCCAGTTGTTGTACTCGATCTTTATTCAGTAGACCAAACAAAAAGCATTTCATTTGCTCCAGATGAGGGTCATGAGAACTATTGCTTTCAAGCAATGGATACAAGTTTTCAAAGGATTTGATGGGATAGTCCCTTTTTTCTGGATTCTGTCTTAACAAGTAGAACAAAGCTGCAAAAAACTCCTGAACATGGAGGTGCGTGAATGCATAGCAGTTTTTATACTCGATGTCCTCCTGAAGCACATTTACATTCAGGAAAACTGAGAGGTCATCTCTGGTTAACTCATGTTGTCTGAGATTTTTCTTGTAGAGTATGTGTTTCATAGTCCAAATGCCTTCAGCAGCTGCCTGGCACAGGCTCCTCAGTAGTGTTTCATTGGGCAGACTAACACAGCTCGAATCTACCTGTGAAAATAAGCTGCAGATATAGCATGTAAACAGAGCTGTGGTGGTCTGGCAGGTTGCTGCAACTGCAACATTACCACCTTTCTCCACTTGCTCCTTCAGACAAGTACAGATAACCTGGCACATGTGGTAGACATGGCATATGCTAAAAAGCCTCTCGTGTTTTCTTATTGAACAGATTGCATCTATAGCCCATGTCTTATCTTTCAACAAATGGTGAAGGTAGCCCATTCTTGCATTCTTAGACAGTCCTGGCATCTTTATACAACGAGGGTTATGTAACAAGGACACCAGTTTCTTCCAAGCTGTGGGTCTTGTTGTTACTAATAAGAATGACTCAGGAAGCATTACTTTCCTCAGCAAACTGCTAATGAGAAAGGACACTGGGTGCTTCTGGGTCCAATCTGTACATAGTGCAAACTCTGGCTCTTCAAAGGAGAAGTCCAGCTCATCAAAACTATCGATTATAAAAAGGAGATTTCTGGGATCGGACAGAATCTTTTCAATGGGGCCTTCAGAGTTAGGCCAATTATTGGATATTAACTGAACAAAGCTTTTATCCTTTGATTGGTTAACTTCTTTCCCATTGAGATAAAAAACATAGGTAAATTGCTGATAGATATTGCCATCTGCCCATTCTAACATTGCCTTTCTCAACAACGTTGTCTTCCCAATTCCAGCAGCTCCCCAAAGGATTACTGTTTGTGGGAATGTGCAAATTTTGACATCCTCAAACATACTTGCCAACAGCTTTTGGTCTTTATGAGTAATTCCATGATTTAAAGTTGCCGATTGGCCAAGATAAGAGCTCTTATCCCATTTAATATAAAACTTTTCCTTTATTACAGTTCTGTAGTCTGTTTCATTATCTAAATCAGTTAGAATGGAAAAGAACCAAAAACACACTGATCAAAACATTGAATTGAATTCTCTTTAATTTCAGTGTTAAGATTCTCACTGCCAGCCATTCCCTTCTCTCTGCCTACCCTTCCTCCTTTCTCTGTTCACCTTCCCCCTTTCTCTCAGACATATGGGTTATCAGGAACTGAATCCAGGTCTTCTGGATGAATGTGTGGATGGGCAGGCACTCAACTGCTTAGCTATCTCTTCAGCCTCCTAGGCTACCTTTTGAGTAGGCATTTCTAAAAACTGTTTTCTTGATATCTCCAAGTCAAAATGGTTTTGATCTTGACTTTGGTCATAAATCCAATTGTATTGACTTTGAATGACTGAGAACAGTGGTACATTGGAAGTAAATTGTTCAGGTGAATAATGGTCCCTAGGAACTAACCCTGCCACTGTGAAGCTTTAAAAACATACAAAAACTGACCAAAGGCTTTGTCCTCAGACAGTGTTTCCTCTTCAGGAATTTGGTCTTCCGTCATCTCAGCATCATCCGACTTCATGGTCTTTGCTGTCCCTGCAACAGTTTCCAAGAGCATCATGAGATTTACAAAAATACAGCTTCAGGAGTGGTTAGAAGGGGGCCAAGAATTCTTCTGTATTGTGACTCTATGGCCATCTGGGTTTAGTAAAACTAGAACCAAGAACTTTAAGCTGTCACAGCTTTGTCAAGGGGAGAATGTGGTACAAACACTAGGGTGGATCTCTTGTCTCTCTGCAGACATGAAGTTCCCTTGTTAATTCTGACTTCAGAGGGATAGAAGTGGAGTTCAAAGGAGATAATGTGTACACAAACACACACACACACACACACACACACCCCTACCTACCTACTGAGCCTTATGTATAGAGCCTAGGTGCTGCTCAAGAATTTTAAATATTTAAGATTTCACATAAGAATCACCAACAGTACTTATTTGAGTCTGCCCTTTTAGCCTATTATTGATTTCAGCAAATATGTTTATCATATTTGAGACGCTTCAAAATCTTTGACTTGATTTGTAGGTTAGGCACAGGTACATTCAATTGGAATCACTTAATTCTTTAGATAATTTCAGTAGGTACTTGCAGATGGATCATTCATAAGACCAAGTCAGAGCAACCCTGTTCTGCTTCTTCAGTGTTCGCCAAATGATCCAAGTAAACAATTGTGCCTACTTCCAGATAGCTCCTGAGCATCACAGTTGGACTCTGCTTTACTCTTTTTACACATATCTGTCAGTTCATTTTGCAAAAGGTTCTGAGGACCGCATTCCAGGCCTGCCTCTTGGATAGTATTTGTTCATCAAGTAAGCCAGTTTATCCCACTTGGCCTTCAGTGCGGCCTACAGTACTGAGCAGCACCTGGGATCTACATTCCACTTTAGGAGTAACTTGAATTTGTTTAATCCCTCATTGCTCTGCTGAACCAAATAGAACAGTCCAAATTCAGAAAAGGAATAGCCATCAATGTGTCTAAATTCAGCTTTGTGGGGAAAACCAATATGACTACAGAATTAGTGACATCTATGGAAGAGTGAGTAGAAAATAAACTCTATACATGCAGATTAATCCAACATATATGTTTTCTGTGATCTACTGTACAGGCTCAGTACAGACCTCAAATATTCCATATGTTCCATCATAAAAGAGCTATTGCCTTCCAGATAGAGAAGCAGGTAGGCTAACTTCACAAATTTATACTTTTTCCTCTGCTCTAAATCTAATTCCTCCAGTCTCATCCCCAGCTCTGTATTTGACCACCTGCTATATTTGACTGCCTGTTCTTCCTTCCTGCCTCTATCTCCAGTGGATCAGGAAGATCTTCTCCATCCTTCCTCCCCACTCATCTATTACCCTAGTCTCCAACTCCAGTAGACATTTCCTGGGAAGCTTCTAGCTAAGAAACAAGTAGGCAGTCAAGCATCAGGTCTTCACTGTTCCTTTCTCTCCTGTATATCCAATCCCATAATTTCTTATCCACCTTAGTAGCAGACAACCAACCTGTTATGATGGCCTCTCCTTACTCTCTTCCCAATTCCCAGGGGACTAAAGTAAATCCTCGTGGATCCTGGTAGATCCTGCTTTCACCTCCCACGGAACCCATTCCCCCTGTCACCAGCCCATCCTAATTCCTAAGTTTAGTTATCATTACCTAGAAAAAATTTTTTAATCAGATCTCTCAATCTACCTAGTGGCTATACCTAGCAGGATGTGAGAGGAATTCCTTACCAGGCAACAGTCAATCATCCCACATGCCACAGAAAAAAGAGCTCAACAGAAACTAAGGAACAAAACAGCCACCCAACAAGTCAACACCAGGTGTCTGCACCTAGAATCTCAATCATCCCAAACCCAGATTTGTAGACTGTAGCATAAAAAACACAACCAATAACATCCAGGACAATTATGTCTCCACTAGATTCCAGCAACCCTACCATAGCAGGCTCTGAAGACAGCAACACAAGACAAAGACTCTAAAGCAGTCTTTATGTGATAGAGGTCCTAAAAGAGAAAATGAAGAACTCCCTTAAAGAAATCCATGAAAGCCTGGAGCTGCTCTGAGAACACTAGACCTGCCTATCCATGCCGGACCACCTGGAATCCCCACTTGCCTGGCCTCTGACCCCCACTGCCCATCCTGTCCTCTACTTGAGTTCTGGGCCCCTCCCAGAGATCCACCTATCCCCATGGGGCCACTCTGAGTTCCTGTGGGCTGGATCCTTGACCCCCATCGCCAGGCCTTGGCTAAAGAGGCCTCAGCTGGAGAGTGCCAGGCTCAGGCTAGGTCTGCCTATCTGCATGGGACATCCTAAGTCCCAGCCTTCCAGATCTTTGACCCCCATTGCCAGTCTTCTGCTGGAGCCTGACCTTTGACCCCCATCACCTGGGCCCCTGCCTGAGGAGAGACCTCCTACAGAGCTTGGACCACCCAGAGCTACAGACATCGAACCTCTGATCCACCTAAGCCCACCTGGGGAGTATCAGAGAGAGACCCCACCTACACCTACTGGAAGAAATGATGGGAAGATGGCAATACAAGAAAACACCAACAGTAGAAAGACAAGCATAACACCACCAGAATCTAGGGACTCTAAACCAACTAGACCTGAACACCCCAAAGCAGATGAAGCAGAAGCGAACGACTTAAAATGATAGAGGCCCTCAATGATGTGAGAAAATCCCTTAAAGAAATGGAACAAAAAAAACAAAAATTGGAAGAAATGAACAAATTTCTTAAAGAAAGTACAGAAAGCCAAGAAAAAAAAAAAAAAAAAAACAATTAAACAGGTGAAGAAACAGTTCAAGACTTGAAAACTGAAATAGAGACAAAAGAGAAAACACAAACTGAAGAAATGCTGGAAGTAGAAAAACTGGGCAAACGATCAGGAACTACAGACACAAGCATAACCAACAGAATAGAAGAGATGGAAAAGAGTCGCAGGCGCTGAAGATAAACTAGAGGAAATAGACTCATCGACCAAAGAAAATCATAAATCCAACAAATCCTTAACACAAAATACCCAGGAAATGTGGGACACTGAACAATGCACAATTGCACCACACCTGGGTCAAAGAAGAAATAAAGAAATTAAGGACTTTCTAATACTCAACGAGAATGAGGACACAACATACCCGAACTTATGGGACACCTTGAAAGCAGTGCTATGAGGGAAGTTCATTGCACTAAGTGTCCATATGAAGAAGATGGAGGATAGTCACATTAGAGAATTAACAGCACAGCCGAAAAGCCTTAAAACAAAAGAAAGCAAACTCACCCCGGAGGAATAGACACCAGGAATAATCAGTTTGAGGGCTGAAATCAATAAAATAAAAACCAGGAAAATACAAAAAAAAAAAAAAAAAAAAAAAAAAAAATCAATGCAACAACAAGTTGGTATTTCGAGAAAAATCAACAAGATAGACATAGACAAACCTTTATCCAAACTAATGAAAAAGCAGAGAGAGAACATGCAAATTAACAAAATCAGAAACAAAAAGGGGACATAACAATGGACACAGGAAATCCAGACAATTTTCAGGTCACACTTTGAAAACCTGTATTCCACAAAAATTGAAAATTCAAAGAAAATGGACAAGTTTCTGGATAACTATCACTTACCAAAATTAAATCAAGAACAGACAAACAACTTAAATAGACCTATAACCCCTAATGAAATAGAAGCAGTCATCAAAAGCCTTCCAACCAAAAAAAGCCCAGGGCCGATGGTTTCAGTGCAAAATTCTACCAGAAATTCAAGGAAGAGCTAATACCAATACTCCTCAAATTGTTCCACACAATAGAAACAGAAGGTTCATTGTCAAACTCTTTATGAGGCCACAATCACCTTGGTACCCAAGCCACACAAAGACACAACTAAGAAAGAAAACTACAGACCAATATCTCTGATGAACATTGTTGCAAAAATGCTCAATAAAATACTGACAAACCAAATCCAAGAATACATCAGAGAAATCATCCACCAAGTAGGCTTCATCCCTAGGTTGCAGGGATGGTTTAACATTAAAAAAAAAAAAAAAAAAAAAAAAAAAAAAAAAAAAAATCAATGTGATCCACCATATAAACAAACTGAAAAAGAAAAGCCATATGATCATCTCCCTAGACACTGAAAAAGCCTTCGACAAAATTCAACACTTTTCATAGTAAAGGTCTTGGAGAGATCAGGGATAACAGGAACATACCTAAACATAATAAAAGCAATATACAGTAAACCAACAACCAACATCAAACTAAATGGAGAGAAGCTTAATGCGATTCCTCTACAATCAGGAATAGAAACCAGGAAAACAATACAAAACAATCAATGCAACAAAGAGTTGGTATTTCAAGATAATCAACAAGATAGACTAGTTTACATAAGCGAACCAAAAAAACTCTACCAAGGAATTCCTACAGCTGATAAAACACCTTTAGCAAACTAGCAAAATACAAGATAATCTTAAGAAAAAAAAAAAAATCAGTAGCCCTACTTTATTCAGACGACAAAAGGGCTGACAAAGAAGTCAGAGAAATAATAGCTACAAATGACAAAGTATCTTGGGGCAATGCTTAACAAACAAGTGAAAGACCTATATAATAAGAACTTTGTGACTCTAAAGAAAGAAATTAGATATCAGAAAATGGAAAGATCTCCCATGCTCTTGGATAAGTAGGATAAATATAGTAAAAATAGCAATCTTGCCAAAAGCAATCTACAGATTCAATTCAATCCCCATTAAAATCCCACCACAATTCTTCCCTGGCCTTGAAAGGATAATAATCAACTTTATATGGAAAAACAAAAGACCCAGGATAGTCAAAATAACCCTGTACAATAAAAGAACTTCAGGAGGCATCACCATCCCTGACTTTAAACTCTACTACAGAATTATTGTGCTGAAAACAGTCTGGTATTGGCACAAAAATAGACAAGTAGACCAATGGAATCTAATTGAAAACCCTGATATTAACCCACATACCTATGAACACCTGATTTTTGACAAAACAGCTAAAAGAATACAATGGGGGGGGGGGAGGAAAGCATCTTCAACAAATGGTGCTGGCACATTTGGATGATGGTTTGTAGAAGACTGCAGATAGACACACAAAACTCAAGTCCAAATGGATCAAGACCTGAACATGAATCTAGCCACACTGAACCTCCTAGAAGAGAAAGTGGGAGGAACTCTTGAACAAATTGGTATAGGAGACTGTTTCCTGAACATAACTCCAGTAGTGCAGACACTGAGATCAACAATTAATAAATGGGACCTCCTCAGACTTAGAAGCTTCTGTTAGGCAAAGGATACAGTGGACAAGACCAAACGGCAGCCCACAGATTGGGAAAAGATTTTCACCAATCCTATATCAGACAAAGGGCTGATGTACAAAATATACAAAGAACTCAAGAAACTAGTCACCATAACACCAAATAACCCTATTAAAAATGGGGTACAGAATGAATAGAGAACTCTCAATAGAGGAAATAAAAAAGGCTGAAAGACACTTAAGTGTTTAACATCATTAGCTATCAGGTAAATGCAAATCAAAACTACTTTGAGATACCATCTTACCCCTGCCAGAATGGCTAAAATTAGAAACACCAATGATGACTCATGTTGGAGAGGATGTGGAGAAAGGGGAACATTCCTCCACTGCTGGTGGGAGTGCAAACTCGTACTGCCATTTTGGAGATCAGTATGGCGTTCCTCAGGAAAATTAGTTTACCACAGGGAATTAGTTTACCACAGGACCCGGCAATCCCCCTCTTAGGCATACACCCAAATGATCCACATCCATGCAACAAAGACATGTGCTCAACTATGTTCCTGGCAGCATTATTTGTAATAGCAAGAACCTGGAAGCAACCTAGATGTCCCTCAACTGAAGAATGGATAAAGAAGATGTGGCACATTTACACAATGGAATACGACACAGGCACCACCCCCCCCCAGGCACCACCCCCCTACACACACACACCGGCACCCCCCCACACACCGGCACCCCCCCACACACCGGCACCCCCCCACACACCGGCACCCCCCCACACACCGGCACCCCCCCACACACCGGCACCCCCCCACACACCGGCACCCCCCCACACACCGGCACCCCCCCACACACACACCGGCACCCCCCCACACACACACCGGCACCCCCCCACACACACACCGGCACCCCCACACACACACCGGCACCCCCCCACACACACACCGGCACCCCCCACACACACACCGGCACCCCCACACACACACCGGCACCCCCCACACACACACCGGCACCCCCCACACACACACCGGCACCCCCCACACACCGGCACCCCCCACACACACACACCGGCACCCCCCACACACACACCGGCACCCCCCACACACCGGCACCCCCCCACACACACCGGCACCCCCCCACACACACCGGCACCCCCCCACACACACCGGCACCCCCCACACACACCGGCACCCCCCCACACACACCGGCACCCCCACACACACACCGGCACCCCCACACACACCGGCACCCCCACACACACCGGCACCCCCACACACACCGGCACCCCCCACACACACACCGGCACCCCACACAGACACACACACACACACAGGCACCACACCCACACCCACACGGGCACCACACCCACACCCACACAGGTACCACACCCACACACACACAGGTACCACACAGACCCTGCACAGATACCCTCCCCCCTGCACAGGCACAGACACATGCCCCCCCCCCCCACGATCTAGACATAAATTCACACACTTATGACCACCTGATTTTTGACAAAGATGCCGTAAATACACACTGGGGAAAAAAAGACAGCATCTTCAGTATGTGATGCTCATCAAACTGGATGTCTGCATATAGAAGAATGCAAATTGAGCCATATATATATATCATTCTGCACAAAACTCAACTCAAAATGGATCAAAGGAAGACCTCAATAAAAAACTGGTTACACTGAACCTAATAGAGAAAGTGCCAACCAAGGAACCTGCATGGACTGACCTAGGCTCCATGTATATGTGTGACAGTTGTGTAGCTTGGTCGTGTTGTGAAACTCCTAACAGTGGGAACAGGGGTCATCTCTGATTCTTTTGCTAGCTACTCCTCATACTGGATCACCTTGCCCAGCCCATACGTGGGGTGGTGCTTAGTCTTACTGTAACTTGATATGCCATGTTTTGTTGATATTCATGGGAGATCTGCCCTTAACAGAGAGGGAGAGGGAGTGGATTGGGGAAGGGAAGCAGAGAGGGGAGGAAGGGGAAACTGCAGCCAGGATATAAAACAAACAAATAAAAGATCAGGGGCTGGAAACATGACTCAATGGTTAAGAGCACTGGCTGTACTTCCAGAGGTCCTGAATTCAATTCTCAGAAATCACATGATGGCTCACACCCTCTATGGTGGAATCTGATGCCCTCTTCTGTCATAAAGGCATACATGCAGATAGAGCACTTATATACATAAAATAAATAAATCTAAAAAAGATACCTTTAAAAAGAAAGATTGGATTACAGGCAAGCCTATAGGACATTTTCTTAATTAGTGGTTTATGGGGGAGGGCCCCTATTGTAAGTGGTGTTATCCCTGGGCTGGAAGTCCTGCATCCTGTAAGAAAACAGACTAAACCAGCCATGAGGAGCAAGCTAGTAAACAGCACTCCTCCATGGCCTCTGCATCAGGTCTTGCTTCCAGATTCATGCCTTGTTTTGAATTTGCATCCTGACTTCCTTTGATGATCAATAGTGATATGGAACTGTAAGCTAAATCAATCCTTTCCTCCCCATTGTGCTTTGGCAAGTTCCCATTTTTGAAGACAACATTTATACAATTCACTGAACATCAAGAAGTCAAGCTTTTATCTACATAGAGCCTTCACCCCTGTGTTCCAGCATTTTCAGTATAGGAAGCTACTTTGCACACTGCCAAAGTTGAAACATAAATACTAACCCACTTACAAACCCTTTGATCTACAATCTGTCCTGCCTGCCAGATATGTTAGGTTAGGGCAATGGTGACATGTGGTGCAAGGTTTGTGGAAGTAACCAACCAGTATCTGATTTGACTTAAGGCCTTCTCCATGAGATGGACTCACATCTAAAACTTCTTGAGTGACTAAGGACATGAGACTTAATAACCTAGGATCATAGAATAAAACAAAACACCTCTGTTCTAAAACAAAACAAAAACAAAGTATCAATAAAATGATTCCTATAACCTGCTATACTCATTGTCAATCAGAGAAGCTTCTTCCTGTAGTATATGAGAACAAAATACAGATACCCACAGGCAGACAACACATAGGCAGTGACCTTGGGATAACTCAGGCCTAAACAAGATTTCTCTATCAAAACCCTGCCCTCAGGGATCAGGGACCCCTGCAGAACAGGAGGCAGGAGAGTGTAAGAGTTGGAAGGCTAGAGGACACCAAGGTAAAGGCCCTCTAAATCAATGGACTGAAGCACATATGAACGAACTTGCAGAGACTGAAGCAGCATGCACAGGGCCTGCACAGGTCATGGCTAGATGGAGTCCTAGGGCTGAAAGAAGGGGACACATGTCCTCATCTTTAACCCAGAAGCTAGCTCCAGTTGAAAATCACTTGCAAATGAAAATTTAGTTTTCTCCAAGGGAGTCTAAGTGGGGAAACAAACTACTCTTAAGGGTAGACTACAAGCCCAGAAATAGATGAACAACAGAAAACCAACTCAATGGCATCTTTGGAGGTTCTTGGTCTCATCAGGTCATATCAGATCTTTTAAAAAAATGTTTATTTTAATTTTTATTCATATACTTCTTTCTTTTTAATGCACAGGTTCCTTGCATATATATTTGGCTTTACTTTAGTGTTTTGATGTTGAGTCCTGAGTGAATAAGTGGGATAAGTGAGTCTTTTCATCTGCATCTGTTTCTTTAATTCTTGAACTCATTTCCTACTGTTTGTTTTGTCACATTCAAATGCATTCATTTTCACTTTATAATTTATTTTATTATTATCCCTAAGAAGCCCAATTTGTTTTAAAATGAGAAAAGGAAAGGGTGTGGACAGGGTTGTGGAAGTGGGTAGGGAAAAAGTAGGAAGAGTAGGGGAGGGAACCATAATCGGAATAGGTTTTGTAAGAATATTCAGTAATAAGAAAAAATAAGTAATTTACTTTTCTAAAAGAAAGAAATTTAAATAAACAAATACATTTAAATAAATAAATAAAACAGCCCTAGACTATAGTGCACCTCACTACTTCCATTCTTTCAGGAGTAAAAAGCCAGGAAAACCCAAATTAAGAGCACCTCCGTTGTTGTAGTCGAACCCTCTCCCTTGTAACAGATATGCTGTAATTAAAGTAAAACTTTTTAGTTGGAGATATGAATCCTCAAGAAAAAAGTCAGAGGTGTGTATGAAAGAACACACGAACAATAGCAGCACTATTTAAGTGTAATTTCTAAATTCTGAATAAACATCTCAGAAGCCCATCTACTATAGAATTAATTAGTTGTAAAAAGCTCTCAAAAACAAAATAAAACCCCAAGTATTAGAAATTGAAATCAGGACCTTCAAATGCTAGGCAAGTGCTTGGCCTCTGTGTTATTTCCACAGCCCTGTTAAAAATAAAATCATACAGTGATATCCTATGAAGTAATGAAAATACAGGACTTGCCACATGCCACCAGGATGAAGTTTGCAATGAGAAAAAACAGTCAAACCCAACAAAGGTTATATATGACATAAACATTTTAAAAGATCAACACAAATGCCAAGCTGTGCTGTTTTTAAAATGTATTATATTTTAAATGGGCTATACCTGGGAGGGAGGTAGCTACTACAAAAGTCAGCTGATGTGATCTCCAGGGTGAGTGGGGGAGGGGAAATGGCGACTTCTCCCTGCAGTTTTCAGGTGCTGGCTTTTTGTCCCATCAACTGGCCATGGTTTGCAGGAGTTATCACTTGCTAATCACTAAACTTCACACTAAGTTCCATATGCACTATTTTTTAATTTCCACTACAATAAAATATCTTTAAAAAAAAAAAAAAAACTTTATGGCACCAGAGAGGCCTGAAGCAAATCAGGGTTATCGGGAAAACAAATTTATTTTAAGCAAGTGAGAAAGAGCTCTTGTACATAAGCCACTGAATGACAGACCTAATTAGCATTCCTCACAATGCTGAAACTCTAAAATTCCAGCAGAGATTGACCAAAAAGAAAAAAAAAAAAAAAAAAAAAGATGCAAACCAGTAGATATCACTTCTCAATGATCAAATGGTAAAAACATTCTTAAAAAACAATAGCATGTGATAAGAAATTGTGAAGCAGATACTGGGGTATAAATGTTAGCAATTACTTGGAAAGTCTAGTGCCCAGAACTACTGAGGACTTTAAAAATGTGTCTTTTCAATCATTACTTTCTTTAGGAATTTTATGCAATGCAAAGAACCCTACATAAAAAGCTTTTTTTTTTTTTTTTTTTTTTTTTTTTTTTTTGCTTTTAAATAAAATAAAAGCATAAAATGCATATGGCCTTGCTCGAGTTTTGTTAATTTTGTCTGTTTTTTTTTTTTTTTTTTTTTTTTGTTTTTTGCTTTTGTTTTTTAGATGTCCTGGAACTATCTCTGTATATCAAGCTGACCTTGAACTCAGATATCCACCTGCCTCTGTCTCCTGAGTGTAGGGATTAAGGGTGGACGTCACTACTCCCAAGCCACCCTTGATTTTTTTTTTTTTTTTAATCATTAAAACAACACACTCAGTATGGTAAAAAGGCAACAATGCCCGTTTGTCAAGTCCCAAAGAGATAATGAATGTGCCATAATAAACTTGTCAGGAGCACCATCACTGGTTACCGCTGAAGCCAAAGCAATTCTGGTCACTGTTGGACTCTGGTGGGAGGTCGAGCGACAAAGCCTCGAATCACGGCTTTCTATAATTTTGCTAGAAAGAGACATGCTGGTAGTGTGTAGCCCAAGGACCACCATGTTTTGAAGAGGCTTATTGCTAACAGTAAGGAAGGAAAATCAACTGAGAAAACTCAGGGTTGAGAAATACCAAGAAACCTCGGACTAAAGGACAGACACCTGCACTTAGCCCAGAAACAGAGGAGAGGGTGGCTACTGCAGCACAGGACTATATACCATTTTAACTCGGCGTCTAGGATTGGGAGTTACTAGTGATCCCGATTAGGAAATGCAAAGGCCACGAAGTAGAAGGAGTCCCAGTTCTAGTTTCCCATTCAAGCTTGACCCTACTTGCCAGCAAACTCTCATGTAGCCGCTACATATCCCCGCAGAATTGTCACCCACACTAAGGCTATAGGTGCTAGTCACTCCAGGGGTCCTGGCAAGACTTATTCTCCATTCTCCAATGCAGGCCACATACATCCCTTTCATAGTCTGCATGCACAATGTGAGCATTGGAAGGATTCCTACTGAGCCCTTACTAGTGAGTTTCAAGAGCTCGAAAAATACACATCAAAGGAAAAATACACATCCAAGAAATTCATTACGTACCTTTGGTCTGAGTCCGAGCTGGTGATGAAAGTTAAGTTTGCGCTGAGAAGCACAACTTAAACAGGGAAAAAGAACACCTGCTTGAGGAGCTTCTGTAGGTTTGACGAGAAAGGGGCTCACCCTTTAGCCCTTAAGACCTCTCTGCTTCTTCCGCCTTTGGGCGGGGCAGGCTCTCCAGCAGGACCTGGTGGCTGGCTCAGTTGGGCTTCAACACCTGTCCAGCAGATTTCTCTTCTGATTGGCTGGCTGGGTAAAACCTCTGCTCCCTAATGTCTATGCCTCGCACTCTTTCAGATGCATTTCCTACCCAAGAGGTAATTTCTATGCTCGGCGCATGTGTAGGACCACAAAGTGCACTGAGCTACAAAACTTGAATTATATTATTATGAAATATTTTTTATTTTTGCTTCATCACCTAATAATTTTACCTGCTAACTATTGATGGTCTCTTCCTGCCTTCCCAAGTTAGTACCCTTGTGGCTTCCCTCGGTACATAAGATCCACCACTCTGTCTGGCTCTTAAGTTAGCCTTCAGTTAGGTGAAATTTCTGATGTTTGCCTATGACCATTTTGTTAAAGCAACTTCACAACATGTTTCTTCCAAACTACAAAAAGATGGATTTTACTGCTTCCCCCCTCTGTTCCTGTCCTTATATAGGAAAACCCTCTAATTTCATAGTTAACATAGCTTGTCATATTCTTTACATGTTACATTGGAATTTTCATTTTGTGACTGCTTCCTTTCCCATTTTTATTTTGTGTGGGGGGGTGGAGTGTGCTTTTGGGTTTTGTTGTTTCATTACAGTCCTTTCTTGATTTGTTCTTTCCAGTTGTGAGACCTGACTGACTCAGAGTGACTTCCCACAGATCTTCAGATAGTCCCACCATGACTGATGGTGATAGAACTGTCTGATGGAGTACAACGGGTTTATCTGGATGTCTGTTCTACCGAACAGAGTTTTAACTTTTCCCATGATGAACAGGAACTCAAATGTCTTTCCCCCTTTTTTAGTTAGCTTACTTTTTACCTGGAAGCTCATGTTTTCTCTTTATCCTTAGAGAGTAGAAATTATAATTCATATGCCCAGTGTGCCCTTTACTCATTAATCTGGGCAATACTAATCAAGTCTGCAAACAAAACAAAACAAAACATTTCCACTCCAAGAAAGTTCTATTTTTTTCCATCATCCCATCAGGTCTTTTCTCCTTTGGGATTCTGGTGATTGTACAGTCCTCTTAGACCTACTCTTTTAGCATTTTCTCTTTCCACAACTATTTTTTTTTTATCTTTCTGTGCTTTGGGATGTGACTTAAAATTGTACTTTTCATTTTTTTATTATGTATGTGTTTGTGACACAGTGCATATGTAGCAATCAGGAGAGTTGGTTGTCTGTTTCTATTGTGTGAGCTCTCAGGCTCAAATCAAGGTTTTCAGGCTTCCAACAAACACTTTTGCCTGAAATAACTATCACCCCAGCCCTGGGATGGGACTTTATCTAAATCATACAGCTCATCATTGGGGTTAAAACTGATCATCTTTTCCAACCCAACTACTCCCAACTACTAAATGATCAGAAAGCTACATAATTTACTTAACTCCCCAAAATCTTGCTTACCCAGTGCTTCAATGTTTTCATTTTGTCTTCTGCCTGTTAGCAGTTTTATTTCTTCATATTCATATTCTATTTTTTTTTTTTTTGACAAATGGCTCTTCATAGGTATTTATTTTTTGCTAGTTAATTTGGATCCAGGTATGGTTAACTGAATATTTTAAGTGGGCAGTTCTACACCTGGAGAAGGTAGAACAGCAAGGTCATGTCCTTTTCAGCCATTAAATGGGAGTGTGGTGCTAAGCACTGTTCTCCAAGGACACCTGGGTAAAAGCCTCCTTGCTATTCTATGATTACTGATTGAGCACAGAAGGATGCCCCAGCCAGCGGGGCCTAGTTATTCGTGGGTTGAGGTGGGCTAGACCTGAAAATAATGGGAGAGAAAGAAGGAACGAGACCAAGCAATGCTTGTCAAGGTCTAACTTTCTTAGGCACAAAGAGGAGTTTTTAAAGCAAAGCGGGGAGGAAATGGGGAGGGGTAGCTGTGCTGACTCTGGGGCTCTGGTATTGTCCCAGGCCATAAATGTCTGTTTATCTCAGTTCCTGGCGTCTTGGTTCATCTCAGTTCCTGGGTTGAATGGAACAGACTGCTTTTTTTTTTTTTTTTTTTTTTAGCAGTTTTCTGTTTTACCAAGATAAGGTTCAATTAGAGTTTTAAGGTGTAAGTAATTCTGCAAGAGGATGTGACTCAAGGCCGGCTCCCAACATATCCCCCTATTTTATTATTTTTTATGGAGGGTCTGTCTTAGGCTACGAGGTGGGCTCCCACAATCAGGACCCTGGGGATGGGCTTGTCACTATGTGATGAATGGGTAGGACCTCTGTCTTAGGCTACATAGGGTGCACCCGCCCTCAGCACTCAAGGACATAGTCAAAAATCGGGCGAGAAACTCCGGCAAGATGAGTGGGCTCCTGAGAGACAACCCTATGCTACTCTCGTCGTTGAGGGACCTACAGCCGAAGAGGAGGGTCTGCATCCGCTTTGTGGCACCGTGATACTCCCATCATTGACGTCTCCATATTTGAGAGAACCAGGTCCTCTGTTGTTCGAGTCCTGTGAAATCAAGTCCTTGTCTAGGGGCATCAGAATTGGCATTGTCACCATCCTCAACAGGTTCCTCAGAGGAGCCCTGTTCCTTTTTCAAAAGCTGATTGATGGTAGTGTACAGAAATAGGTTTTTTGAGTATTGAATCAATTTGAGTTTTGATTAATTGAGTTAGTCTCTGGAATGCCCAAGGCCCAAAAGTCAGCAGCAGCTGGACCACAAATGGTCCAGGAAAGAAGGAAGCAAGGTAGAAAGCTTTTTATACCAGGTGGCTTTTTATACCAGGACTCGGCCTGTTCCCGCTGTCATTTACGTTCCTCAAGACTTTTTTGTACTCTATCTAAGCTGCCAGTCTTAACAGCATAAAAACAACATTCCTCTTTTAAGGCTGCACAAAGGCCACCCTGTTGCAAGAATAATAGATCAAGCCCTCTTCTATTCTGTAACACAACTTCTGCTAAAGAAGTATGTGAATCCTTTAGATTTTTTAGTCCATATTATAATTCTTTAATATCTTTGTCTACTGTCACTGTGAGTCAATTGAAATGGGAGTTAGTCTGTACCAGAGAGGCTATTCCTGTCCCTGCCCCAGCAGCTCCAAGACCTAGAATAACAGCCAAGGTAATGGCAATTACTGGTTCTCTTTTTACATGGCTGAAAGTATCTCGACCCCAGAAGTTAAGGAAGGTTTCTGGATCATGTATAGTAAGTCGAGGTACCAACTGGACCAAGGTACAATAGTCTCGTTTCTTTAGAAAAATTGAGACTACCACATAAGTAGTCAATCCAGAGGAGCAGGCAAGATAGGTTCCTTCTGGTGCTGTAACACCAGGAAATTACAACTGTTTGGTTACATATTGGAATTAATGAGGAGGGAGGAATCATGTGAGGGCTAAGAAGACAAAGACCCAGTCCTGAGACTTGGCCAATGGTTAGGCCTTGTTCTGTGGGGGAAGTAGGGCTCCATCTTAACTGGCTAGTATCATTAGTAAAGATAGCATTATCAAAAACAGTAATCCCTTCGTAAAAAGGGGGACCTGGAGAAAAGCAAATCCAGCATTCTTGTAGATCAGTATTATTGGTCAGATGGAGGGTTGAATAGTTGAATTGGCTAATGCAAGAATCAATTCTGCAGAGGAAGGAGGTCCAGGGGGTAAGGTGGGTTGAAAAGTTCCTGTGACCTTCACGGGGAAAGGGGAAGGTTTGGCAGAGGGTCTAACAGGAGGCCTACGAGGGACATTTCCCTTTTGGTGTAATTCAGGATTGGGGGCAACGGCTGTTTTAGGGCTAGAGGGAAAAGATTTTTGTAGCTGTATTTTAAAGGTAAGGCCTATATCTTCTCCTGAAATATACAGGCGAAGACCCCATTGAGCCCCTCGAGTTGGCCAATTTTATTATTGTTTTCCCCCATTGGTGAAAGATCAACAAAGGATTACACCAGTGATTGGAGCATTGTCGATTATAGGGAACAGGTCCTGAATTTAACTCATAAGAAGGGGGATTTAGGTGCTTAACCGTTATAAAGCCCCAACTAGAGGAGGATTTCCAATAAGTGTCCCCAGTGGTCTCACATCCCCAGGCAGCACAAAAGTAATCTTGTTCAAAGCCACATTTGTCCTCTATAGATCGATCTCGATGGGATCCAGGGAAGACATATACAGGTGCCATAGTAAGATAAGTCCTGGCCTGCCCATTAAAACATCCCGGTAAGGAAGTAGATCTAGTATTTGTATTGATAGGTCTGGACCGGGGCAAGTATTAGCTAGGCATTCCCCACCTGGTT